GGCACCACCGCGAGGAGGGAAGGACAGGAGGAAGGGGAAGGGGGATGAGCAGCAGCAGCATGATCAGGAGAGCTGGCGGCGGCGGTCCTTGGGGTTGAAACTGGCATTCGCCTGGCAGCGAACGTCGCAGAGGAGCGGAACAAACAATATCCGCCACCGTGCTCCCTGGCACGATCAGGCGCAGTAGAATGCCAAGGGCTGCCTTGTGAGGTTTCTGTGTTCTTCCAAGAGGCCCTCTCGTCGCAGACTGATGCACGTACCACCCCCCATCCCGAGACCGCGAGCCCTCGTAAGAGCCCGAGGACACGACCCCTCGTACAAAACAATAGATCAGCCCTCCCGAACTCCCACCAAAGCCGCCCAAACGGCCGAAGATTGCCTAGACTACGGCCCAAGATGGCCCCCAAGGCGGCCTATGATAGCCTCAAAATGTCCCACGATGCCCCACAACAAGTCCCAAGAACACCACAAGACACCCCAAACAAGATCGGACGAAACCGCAATCATCGGTGCCCCGGCATCTTTTGGTAAGATGTTCGAATTCTCGCCTTGTCTAACTTCCGTCTGCGAATGAGGACACCATGACGGTCCAATTGGCCTCCAAGATGGCCCAAGAGGGCCTCTGGAGAGACCCAAGCCGGCCATAGAAACCCCTAAGGACGGCCCAGGACGGCGCCAAGACGGCCCCACGACAACTCCAAGACACCCCCAATACAGCCAAGACGGTTCCAATACAGCCCAAGAGAGCCCGAAGACGAATTAGGAAGGGTCCAAAGACGGCCCAGGAGGGCACTAAGACGCCCCAAAGATAGCCCCAGGACTGCCCCCTACAGGAGCCCAAGACAGCCCCAAGACCGCGCAAACGAACCTATGAGAGCTCGTCAAGAAGTGAAGACGGCCTTCCTCTTCCTCCTCTTCCTCCTCCTCCTGCTCCCCCTGCTCGACAAAAGACATTCATCATTCTCATCACGGCTCTACAGAACTTCGGGACGCGAGGTGTCACACGTGACTGCCTCCCGTGTCCCCTCGCGAAGTCGCCACCTAGACTGCTGGGCTGGCACGATGGCGGGGCTTGCCGCATACAGCTGGGCATAGAGATGGAGAACTCAACGATAGCATGTACATATGAATGAATTCATATATATAGAGAGAGAGAGAGAGAGAGAGAGAGAGCGAAAGAGAGAGAGAGAGAGAGAGGCCGATATATATATATATAGAGAGAGAGAGAGAGAGAGAGAGAGGGAGAGAGAGAGAGAGAGAGAGCGAGAAGCAACACACAAATAACGCGTGAGAGAGAGAGAGAGAGAGCGAGAGATAGATTGAGAGCGAGTGAGAGAGAGGAAGGTCCATATAGAGAGATAGAGCGAGAGAGACAGTATACAGCGTGACAAGAAACGAGAAAGAGGGGGGGGGGGAGAGAGAGAGAGAGAGAGAGAGAGAGAGGGAGAGAGATATATGATGTGTATACGTAGCTATAAGTACAGTGCATATTTCGATAGGTGCGCACCCAGATAGATATAGAGAACGAGAGAGAGAGAGAGAGAAATATAGAACGAGAGGGAGCGAGAAGACGAAAAAACAACAGAGAGATAGCAACAAATGAAACAGATGGATCGGGAGAGATGCCTCAGCCTTCCCCCCTCCCGGCTCCACATGACCATGTGGGCTCTGGCCTCTGGTCTCTCCTCCTCCCCCCTCCTCCCGCCTCCTCTCCCTCCTCCCCTCTCCTCCGCCTCTTCTCGCCTGGTGCCGCAATCGAAACCGCAGCGCGCTCACGGGGTGCTTTCCGCAGGCCGCCAGCACGGCACACCAAGTGGAAACGAGCACGCGTGCGCGCGACCCTTCGCGGGCAGCTCCTGCGCACATGGCGGTACATAGATCATTTTTTCCTGTTGGACCATCATGAAGCCGCGAAGATCGAAGCGTCAGAGAGCACAAAGAAAGCGTGAAGGGACATGGGTCAGCTGGGCACTGCGGGAAACAATGTGCTCAATGAGAACGGGATGAGGTGAGCAGTCCATGTGGGCGTGTGCCTAATCGGTAACGAGATCTCCCCGAGGTCCCCGCGGAGGCTCCCTGTAGGCTCAAACGGTAATGGGCGAATGCACTCTAAAACGTACATGTAAATCCTCCCGCGTCCCCCTGGCTCGTTCCCCCTCCCTCCCGCCCCGTCCTCCTGCTGTTCCTCCCTCCTCCTCCCTCTTCCTCCCTTTCCTACTCCTACTCCTCGTCCACTTCACTCCTCCTCCTCCTCCTCTTCCCTCCTCCTCCTCCCTCCTCCTCCTCCTCCTCCTCCTCCTTTCCCATCGTCGTCCTCCCTCTCCTCTGGGGTGCTTGTGCACTGGTGGCCTTCCGGAAGTGCTGCTCGCCGCCCTGCTGCGCCTCGGCCAGGGAAGACGAGGGGAGGGGGCAAGGCGAAGGACCAGGACGACAGTCTTCCGCCGCCTCCTCCTCCTCCTCCTCCTCCTCCTCCTCCTCCTCCTCCTCCTCATCATCATCATCATCATCATCATCATCATCATCATCATCATCATCATCATCATCATCATCATCATCAGCACCATCATCATCATCATCATCATCATCATCATCATCATCATCATCATCATCATCATCATCATCATCATCATCATCATCAACATCATCATCATCATCAACATCATCATCATCATCCAGACCGCGAGGATGCTCCGAATTTCTTCACAAGCGTCGCGGGGGCGCCCCCCCCGCCGACGGCCCCCCGCGTCGATCCCGGCCGCGGGCAGCCACCGCGCGCCGAAGGCGCTCCGACCCCCGTCGCGGCGCGACGACGAGGCGAGGTCGACCCCCGTCGGGGGGGGAGTCCGTTTCACGGTTCACGTCTAACCACGCACGACGAACCGCTTGGTGCCTCCGAGCTTGCACAGACAAGCGTGCTTTCGAGTGCTGAGACGGAGAGCCAGGAAGGGAGCACCTGGCGGACATGTGCGTGCTGAGAACTGCGTCACAAAGCAAGTGAACAACAAAAACTTGGATCCGGACCCAACCCGTGAAACAGGAGAAGGTCCTTCAGCCCGGGCGCACCCTCAGGAGTCCCAGAAGGCCATGGAGCCCAGACGCCCATCCATGTCCCAAAGAGTAGCTGGAACTGTGGGCAAACGGGAAGTGCTTCGTGTCGTCGAGGTTTCCAGGTGGTCCACAGAGGAGTGGCGGCCAAGAACGCATCCTGGGGGTGCAAAATGGAATCTAGAATTGGTACGTTCACATCTCGCCAACATACGGATAACGGCCAGGGGGAAACACCGCCCGACGCCCTGCGGACGAACCGCGACGCGCCCCCGCCCAGCCTCCAGCCGGGAATTGAGCTCCGCCAACTCCTGCGGGAGGCGCGGCGCCCGGCGACGCGCAGCCGCCGCCGCCGCCAACGCCGTGATCGTCGCCCTCGTCGTCGTCGTCGTCGTCGCTCTTGCGGTCATCAACGTGGTGATGGTCGTCGTGGTCGTGGTCGTCGCGGTTGTCGCCGTCATTGGCGTCATCGCCGTGAACGCTGTTTTGGCGTTCGTCGTGGTCGTGGTTGTCAACGTGGCGTTCGTGGTCGTCGACGTCGTGGGCGTCGTCGTGGTCGTGGTCGTCGTCGTCGCGGCCGTGGTGGTGGTCATCGTGTTCGTCATCGTCGCCATTGCAGTAGTCGTCGACGTAACGGTGGCCGTCGACGTCGTCGGCGTCGTCATCTTGGTCTTCGTCGTGGTCGTCATGATTGCGGTCGTCGTGATCGTCGGTATCGCTAGGAGGAAGGGAGGCAGGAGGGGGGAGGATGGGTGATCATTCCTCCTTGTCCTCCCCCTTCTGAATCCCCTTCTCCTGCGACTCCTGCGATGTCGACGCCGCCCTACCCCTCCTATACTTCCTCCATTCCTTTTCCTTATAACCAAAATTATCCCTGTCGCAGCCCGGAGCAAATTTTTAGGGCGGGCTGGGCGTTTCGCCTAATTCATCATTCTGATTCAGGAGCTTAGCGTTGACAGCGATTTCACAAATGGAGGGCGGGTCGTCTTCAACATGTGGCTCTCGCCTGAACGCCGCGTACATTCGTTTTTGAAAAATTGCACGAGTTGCACGGATTGAAGGCAACCCGTTTTCAAAATGAATCTCTCGCTTCAGCGAAGCGCACATTCGTTTTAAACATTGCAAAAGCTTCACGGATTGAGGGCGGCTCCTTTTCAAACTGTGGTTCTCGCCTTACCGCCGCGCATTCGTTTTAAACAGTTGAGAGAGTCTCACGGATTGAGGGCGGTTCCGTGGTTCTCGCCCTAGCGCCGCGTTTACTCGTTTATACAAGTTGCAAACATTTCGCGGATTCTCATGATCAGCGTACCAGAAATTTTGTTTAGGAAGGATTCAAGAATTTGCGGGTGCAACACTTACTTTGATTCGCGGTGTTGAAATCGTCACGGCGCAAGAGTCAGGTTGATACGTGGCGTTGGAATACCGAGAACAATGGTTTGGTATGCTTCAGGGTCATCATACGGTTGTCATCCAACGAGGCAGTTCCCTGAACAGAAATGAGCCGTTGTAGGTCCTATGAAGAGGGAGCGGAGAGAGGGTTTATTCCAACATCGTCGATGGCTCTTGGGTTTACACTGGTCCTCGTCCTCCCCATCCTGCTCCTCCTCCTCCTCGGGTGGGGGGGGCGGGACGGTGGATCTCGCAATCGCCACGTGGCTGCAACTGGCTGGTGCCCGTCGGCTGGCCCTACAGGCAGCAGGCACCTCGGGGCGAATGCCGTCCGGCTCGCGCGGTGGCCCACTCTTGCGCGACTCACGGCGGAAGGGCGGAGAGGTGAGGAAGAAAGCGGAGTTGAGTGGGGAGAGGTGGAAGGGAGGAGGGGGGGAGGAGGAACGGACGGAGAGGGGAGGGGAGGGGACAAGTCGAGGAGAGACCGAGTGGGACCTGGGAAGAGGGAGTGTAACGGGGGAGGGGCGGGGAGGAGGCGTGGAGGGGAGAGGGATGGGAAGAACATTTTCGTTCTCGTCCATCGGCGGAGAAGCCAGTCCAGGAAGAAGCGGGAACCCCATGCAGATGATTGCGGAGACTTCTAGATGTGAGGTTGGCCTTGGGCCATGGCAAGACCCTGCACGTCTTGCGCACTTCGAGTGACGCCGCCTTCCCATCAGTGCTTGCCCTTCTCGTTGCCCTTCTTGCCCTTCTGGCACTGTGCTTTGCGGTTCGTAACGCCGCCACGCTGGGCGAGCCTATCGACCCCCTCGGATGTCTAGAGGTAGCAGCCGTACCAGTCGATGAAACAACCAACACAGCGCCACACGCGGTCGTTGGGGTCCTCCTGCCCGGCGCTGCGTGGGCACGAGCAACCAGCGCACACCGCAACAACTGACGATGAGCTCTTATGCAAGCGCTCGATGTCGCTCTCGCTGAAACGACGCAACAACTTGAACACTTCGCAAGGATAGACGTACGGGGTCCCATTGGTATTCCAGACGCTCACGCCGGCCACCCCCTTCGCGAAGTCCGCAACCTTCTTCGGCAAGGCTTCCCCAAACCGCTGCCACGCCAGTTCGGCGAAGGTCACCAGGCTCGCGCCAGCGAGCGCTCTTTCGGGGCTCCGCCTTTTGCCAGGGAGAAATAACATGGAGGGCGGTGTGGCCGCCCGCGCGGAACAAGGGCGGAGGGGAGGAGGCATGCTGCTGGTGGAGGGGCGGAGCGAGGGAGGAGCGAGGGAGGAGCGAGGGAGGAGTGAGGGAGGAGGAGGAGGAGGAGGAGGAGGAGGAGGAGGAGGAGGAGGAGGAGGAGGAGGAGGAGGAATGAGAAAATAAGGGGCCCTGAAGGAAATGGGTCCTGGACCCTGGGGCTTCCCCCTGACGCAACTTTCATTTCCGAGTCGTTCCTCGAGGGCCCCAGGACCCGGGAAGAGCCCCGAAGAGCCGAAAACGGCGAACCACTTCAGACTGCTTTTCATTGCTCCCTCAAGACCCCCTTTCTCGTTCTGAAGATGCGGAGAACGGATAATCCAACAATCCTATCATTAAAGTAAAGGTGTGTTAACATGTTTGAACATGTTCTGACATGATTAAAACACATTTGCATGTTTACGACATGTTTGAAACATGTTTAAGGCATCTGGGAATTATTTGGCAACATGTCTCATCTCCATTGATCGACTTCCACAACTGCATCTTTGCATCGCAAATCACCGTTGGCGTCTCCGCGAGGTTTTCGCCCGCCTCCATCTGGCGTTGGAGCACGGCGGCCAGGCCCTTGCGCAGCTGCGCCCCACGTAACCCTGGCACCGGGCGTGCAGCCGCTCCGACCGGCTCTGGCATCGCTGGACCTACAACGGCAACTGGCAACCTTGGGCGCCCGAGTTATCCTGGGTAACTCGGGTTTGTGGATTCCCGAAAAACGAATCGAATCCGAGTTAGCCCTGACCCGAAACACCCCTGATGATTCGGGGCTCTAAACGCCCGAATTATCTAGGGTAACCCGGGCCCGGGGTAACTCGGGCTTGTTTTCCCGACAAACAAGCCCGAGTTAGCCCAGACCCGAACTACCCTTTGATAATTCGGGGCTCTGGCAACCCGCTTCGTCCAACACGCGGTCGTGGAGCTCGTTGACCGTAACCTTCGCCTACTCTGGCTCCGCGAGATTGGGCATGCAGAAACGCCCTCGGCATTTCGCATCTCCTTGGATCGCCATCGACAAGATCGGGTCGCGTGTCACGGCGGCCTCGCGCCACGTGTTCGGGATGTTCCGTACGTGCAAATTGGCGAAATTACACCCAACCTTGAAAACCCGCGAGCGAGGTGCACCTCAGGGGAACCTCTTCAACGGCCTCGGGAAGTCACCGCGAAGCTCGCGGAGCGAAGACACCCAGATTGCCCTGACGAAAAGTATATGGTTTCTTGAGGCGCGCCCCCGCTTTAACGCATCCTCACGTTGCTGGCGCCGCTGGTCGAGGGCCGTCTCCACTTCAAGGCGACCATCGAAGTCATACCACACTTCTGAACTGAAGGCCGCGGCGCCCTCACGCCCCGCCCGTCGCGTTGCGCGGCGTGGGCTCGAGGAACTCGCCGATGAAGGGCGTGCATGTGCACGTCATCCGTCTCATTGGGCCCCTCAGAAACTGGGCATTGAATGCAGCAAATGAGCGTAGCTTTTTCTGCTGCACTTTCTGGAGGCGGTCCAACCAGCACTCGTCGCCAGATTCTTTCTGCATGTTCGAATCGTCAACCCCGTTTGCCCAACTGCTAATTGACCGAGACACTTGAAACACTTTGTTATAACATACTGCGCGAATTAAGTGATACTCTAGCTACCACCCGGCAACCATCCCTAGGCCGTTTGCTGGACAATGCCGCGGGAATGATTTGAGCCATAATCATCATACGGAATCTGAAATGAGACCCGTCTGTAGACTCCTAATCATCCTCCTTTTCCGTACCCTCGCTTTCCTCCCTGATCTCCTCCTCATCTCCTCCCTATCCTCTTGATGTTGCTCCTCCTCAAAGCAAGCCTCGTCGGTTGAGGAATGCCGTGAGCCCAAGGTGCCACCCCCGAGCATAACACTTCGATGCTAATACACGCCCCTCTTTAGCACCCCCTTCTGGAGATACCCGCACCTCGGCACGCCCTCTCCCTATGATAATGTCCACCGACCCCCGCTTGCCCCAGCAATGAAAAGGCGTGTGAGATGTCTGTTTGCACCCCTTCCCAAAATGGCCGCTTGCACATCGGCTCCCAGCCGACTTCCAGGACGGGCCCAGCATGGCTCCCAGACGACCCCCTACACGGCCCCAAAGGCCCTGCAACACAACCCCGGGGCCCGAGAAGGGACGCCAAGATGGCCGCAAAATGCGCCAAAGGAGCCTCAAGACAACCCCCAAAAAACCTTGAACGGTTCCACGAGAACCACGGGACAGGTTCAAATAACCTCCCACACGAACTGTGGATTTTACATGCTATATCCCCCTGGCCCCACCTTTCCCAGCGCCGTGCTGCATGCACCGGCCCCCCCTCCCGAGGGTTCCTGGGCGCCCAAACGCCTCCCAAGCGCTCTCCAAGGGCTCTCCAAGGCTTTCTGGGGGCTTCACGAAGGCTGGGGAAGATCACCAAGTCCGCAACGACAGCCCAACATTACCTCACACGAAGCGCAAATAAAATCCAACAATGTCTCTTGGTGTCTGGAAACCGCTTCCAAACACCACCAAGACGCGCGCCAGGAGGCCCTCGAAAGGCCACAAACATAATCATTATGTTGCTCACTGCGTTTCGCTCTCCACGGTCTGTAGTTGAAGGTCGGTCGACTTACGGTCTTCGAAAACCCTGTAGCCTATATGGCGTACTGAGATATCCGAGATAACCCTTAAAAAGAGGGCATCCGGAAGGACCCAAGAAATCTCAAAGAGGGCATCCGGAATAACCCACGACAAGCCACTACGGCCCCAAGATGGACACACGACGGCCCAAAGAGACGTCCCAGACGGCCGTGAGGGTCCAAGATGGGCCAGGAGAGCCCGAAGACGGCCTTCGACAAGACCCCAAGGGAACCCCAAGACTGCCCCACCAGAGTCCGTCATCTGTATGTCCCTTACCCTTTTCCCCTTTGTCCGCCAAAACTTTCCTCCTCCTCTCCTTCTCCTCGTCCACATCTTCCTCATCCTCTTGCACATCCCCATCCTGCTCATCCTCCTCATCAACATTATCATGTCCTTCATCCTACTCCGACCCAGCGCGGCCTCCCAACTATGCATGTCTATCCACATATATATGTATATATATACACATCTGTATTCATCTACATCTGCATCTACCCATCCATACATACATGCACGCATGCATACACACATTCATGCATTCATGCACTCATTCATCCATACACTCATGTAGACGAACATATACATTGATATACTCGAATCTACGAGGCCGACGCCGAGGATGAAGAGAGTCGCACCGACACGAAAATTATGGCTCTCCCCAACCTCGTGACAGAGGGTTTCACACATCACGGCTTTGTGTGCCCTCCTGTCGCTCATTTGCTGGGCTGGCACGGTGGCGAGATTTTCCGCAAGCAAGGTTGGCGATTCTAGGCTCATGCTCTCACCGCAGCCTTCCTCCATCACTCCGGCTACAGCGGTTCTCCTCCTACGCCTGGCTTAATACCGAGGGTCAGCGGAATGGCACAAGCCTCATGGGTTAAACTGCACGAGGCCCCTCTCAGCCCTGCTGCCCCCCCTAGATCAAATCATGTGTTCGATCGGATGTTGGGGGGTGAGATCGCAGTCCCGCCGGGAAATCGGTCTCGGTTTCGTGCTCGTGTCGTGCGGGCGAGGCAAAGCTGCGTGGGCGCACGAGAGGAATACTCCCGCCGTCGCTAGGGCGATTCGGATGCAAAAATCCGACCCTCCGGTGGCGCGCGGTGGCTGGGGGCGTCCCGCTGTGGTGTCTCGCGGTGTCCCGATGGTGTCCCGCGGTGTCTCGCCGTGTGCGCGCGCGAGAAGAATAATCCCGCCTGGCGATTCGGATGCAAAAATCCTGCCCTCTGGTGGGCGCGCGGTGGCCAGGAGTGTCCCGCCGTGGTGTCCCGAGTTGTCCCGATGGTGTCCTGCCGTGGTGTCCCGATGGTGTCCCGTGGTGTCCCGCGGTGTCCCGGTGAAGTCCCGTGGTGTCCCGCCGTGGTGTCCCGCCGTGGTGTCCCGCCGTGGTGTCCCGATGGTTGTCCCGATCGATAGTGAGATCGATAGTGAGATAGATAACGACCGAGATTCGGTGAGATCGGTATTGAGATCGATAGTTGGATCGATAGTGAGGTCGATAAAGAGATCAGTAGTTGTATCGTGTGAGCGGCAGTGAGATCAAGAGAAAGATCGATAGTTGCATGGATAATTCAATCGATAGTGCGATCGATTGCGAGATCGACAATGAGCTCGATAGCGGAATCGATTGTGAGCTCGATTGTGGGATCGATTGAGATCGCTTCAGAGAGCGACAGTGAGATCGGTTGTGAGATCGGTTGGGTGAGATCGATAGCGGGGTCGATCGCGGCGCAACATTGTCATCCCGCGTCGTCGCCAACTCGAGGGCGCGCCACCAGCATCGTCATCATCATACCCATCGCAGTTGCCAGCAGTAGTTTATTTCCCCTCCTCCTCAACCTCCTTATCACCCGAAGGGTGGTCGTGTAGGTATCGCATATCAGTTTCTCCAGCGCCTCGAGAGAGAGAGAGGCTGTCGAAAGCCTTTTTCTGTAGCTGCCAAATGACCGCCAACCTGCCAAAGACTACCTCCCCTGTTTTTCAATACGACCCCCAAGAAGTTCGACCTTTTCCCCAGGGAACGCTTTTCCTCCGAGCAGTGCTTGGGTCGTCCCAGGGCTCGGTGAGGGCCCCCCGGCAGGCCGAAGACGGCGATCAACATGTTTGTTGTCGTGTATATGTGTTCGTTCAACTATCTCGAATTGTATAGCTTCCCTAGGACCACGAGCTTAGGTTCTAGCCAAGGAAGAAGCCAACGTCATCCCACACATCCCACCACGATCGCCGCATGGGAACACCTGCACAATCATGGGCATACATATCCTATCAACGCCCCCACATATTTCGGTACATCCTTCATACGGATCGTGCCCTTCTAGCCCAGGCGAAGTCAGCGTCATATCAATCATCGGACGAGCACGCACACCAACACCATGCACCACGATGACCACATGGGGGCACCTGCGCATTCGTGAGAAC